CAGCCTTAACACACACACTTGTTGATTTTTATCCAGCACCGCGTAACGATTGCGCGCAACCCATACAGCAGCAATTCCAGGAGAACGATTAACCGGTGCTTCAGTATTACCATCAGAATCTCTTGCGACCTAAAAAATGACTGAATTTCCAAAAAAACTGTTAATGAAATTTAGAAGTCAGCGCACTCTGTAGATGTCATAGAAACACTGCTCCTTGTTGTGTGATCGACTAGTGAGCAAAAATGCGTTTTCAGCTGGATTGTATGACAGAGCATAGTAAGGTTGCATGAAAGCGGCAGCAGCACGTAACTTGCACACTGCTTGGTCCTTGCTAAAAAAAACATGTTCGAGCGTGAATTTTCCAAATCCTATTCCTAATCATTTATTCAAACTAGATATTTCAATAAATGACTGAGAGATTCGTGGCATTTACAAACATCTCACTTAGTCAGAGAGTCCACAGCAAGAGACTCCGAAATTCAAAAAATACAGCAGTCAGAACATAGCTCAAGCAGATTCATTGCCCGCCGAATGTCTTGCAATATGAAATGAAAAGCCAAGCCATCTACTGGCACCAAAAAGTTCCATGAAATTTTTTGAAGGCTTTGGCTAAATTTTTTACCACAGCATCATCGCGATTAACTTCAGATATTTGACTGTCAATTCTTGCAAAAATTACAGTCAAAGCTTATGGTAAAATAGTACTTCATCACTAAAATTCTTATAACATAGCATAATGATTCAGGATAAAAGAGGGCTTACTCAGTTGTAAGATCGAGACGACGCAGCTGCTTGTCCTTGACATAGAAAGCAAGATTCTCACTGATGCAATAGGCAGGCCGCTCGCGTTGAATTTTAAAAACGATCATTCCATTATCGTGACCGGCAGCAAACATGTTGAGACTAGGGTGTGCTGATAGAACCCAGAAGCGTTCATTCTCATGTCTAAGAATAAAAAAGAAATAACTGAGCTAAAATGACGCGTTACATATAGATATTGCACCTGAAGACGTGCAAGCTAGTTCTCTTCTGCATATCCCAGACACGGATTGACTTATCTTCAGAATTGGATAATATAAGCTCTGCATTGGGATGGAAAAGCACGGATGAGACATTGTTGTAGTGACCCCGGCAACTATCCA